CTATTTAACATTTTTAATACACACATCTCTTGACAGTGCTGCAACTCTCACCAGCTAAAGCCAACGGAAAATGGAATGATAGAGATCCCAGTAATCGGTATTTCATAACTTGACTCTAATTAAAATGAAAAAAAATCACTGTATCCACATGGCTTGCTCAAACACATATATGTCCACAGAGACCACAAAGAATGTAAAAACACACGCAAACCCACATATCACGGCACTGTGACTTTTGGCTTGAAAATCTCATTCTTGTCAGGTATACAGTATACTGAAGTATATACTTTGCCAGGAACGGTATACCTGTATACTGAAAAGATGTATATACCTTGTGAGGTATATACCTGTACTCTTGTGGACTGAAAGACAACTATCATACAGTATTTAGGCTACCATCACCCTTTCTAAACTCCTTCAAATCCAGACTCAAAACCTTCTTCTTTAGAAGAGCCTTTACTTTACTGGTTCTGTTCTTTACCCCTCTGCTCCTACTGTATTTAGTATCATCATCTACTGCCTATAAAGCGTATTATCATATAATTATTATCCTAGAAACCGGTAGAGGAATCCAACTGCTAGGTCCAGGTGAAAGCGAGCGGACAGGTCAGGTGGAGGATGTGCCGGGCAGCCAGGCAGAGCAGGGAGACTGTATATACTGTACCAGCGAAAGGACGTTGCAGGCAAAACTTTTTAACTGGCAGCTGGGGATTAGGGGTGACACCAGGCGAAACGGGGGGAATACACAGGAGACAACCAGAAGGAGCAGGGGAGGAGCAGAGCTGCAGTGCTGCAAACCTGCGAAGCAGGCGATGGGAAGTTACCCGTATTTATGTCTGCACGGCCGAATGCTTCAGCGAGCGAGTCTCCACTTACCATATACACGTGCCGTTACCAGGTTTTTGTTAGACTGTGTTCTAATAAGTATCAACGAAAATTAACGCAACTTCCCTCTACAGTTATTAATGTTTTACGTTCTCTATCGTGTACAATTCTGTTCCGTTTTTCGGGTTTACAAATGTGATTACAACGTGCTTTGAACTTTGTTCTCTGCTGCTTAAACTCACAAGTTTTTTTTTCCAAAGAAGGAAGAAATAAAGCTGAACTAACGATACTGTATGAGAACCAACCTTAAATAATGCAACACAGACATCCGCTTTTAGATGGAAACTCTGTAAAAGCAGCTGGTACGCCGTTTGAGTTACTATACAGCAGTTTTTAAAAATATCCTTAACGATATGTTCATAACATCCTTAAAATGCATTAAATACGCGTATTTGTGGATTGACTATTAGCAAAAAGACATGCTTGCTGCTGCATGCGTAAAAAGGACTTAGTATTCTTAGTGTACACCAACACTGAAAATGACAAGAGTAAGAACCTCATTCATTATCCTAATACAGTAATCTGATACGCTAATAACCTAATCTTACCACATACTGTAGTCCCCCCTTTGTTCAAACGTGATAGCAGTCTGCAAAAGCATCCTGATATTTAAATGTTACTGTAATTTATAGATTGCATAAACTACAAATAAAATTTTAATGTATATCCACGTGTGTGTTTCAAACGAAATTTTAATGGTTTCAGGTTTGAAATGTATTTTAGTATTAAATGCGCAAGTCTGTTATACACCTTCGGGCTCACAGTCCAGGCATTGGAGGTTTAGCTGCCCGTATCGGAGGCTCTCTCAGCGGTGAGGCACGAATGCCCAACAGTTACCCAAGCTGGGTGGGGGTGAACTGGCCAGGGTGCTCTTCGTGGGCCAGGCAGCGGGGAACCTTGTGGCTTGCCGGGAGCTGTTGGTCTTGCCAGTGCTGCCAGTGGGATCTGTCCCGCATTCTGTGACCGTGCCCTGGTGCCCAGGAGCCTGACCTGTGGAAAAGGGTGGGTGGCTGGTTATTGCAAGTCTGGGAGCACACTGGCGTAAGGGCCACAGTGCCAAGTCGAGCTCAAGTCAACAAGTTCAAGCTTATTGTCATTATACTCATACACAGGTATGTGGTATAACGAAATGCTATTTAGCTAGCTCTCAGATGGTAAGCAGTACAAAAAAACAACAATACAATTGTACAAGAAAAGAAAAACAAGAGACAACAGGCAATGTGCGACACAGCAACAGGTAACAGGTAATGTGCAAAACAACATCAGTTGTGCAAAATCATACATCAACAGAATGAAATAAAGGATAGAAAATGATTGGGAGTGAACTTCTTGACATGTGAGGTAGAGATAGATTTCAATGTGTGTTTGAGTTTTGATAAAGAGAGAAGGCACTGTGAACTGTTTTGACACCTGAGGGACCCAAATTGGGAATGCTAATTTTCAACTGCTATAAAACAATCAGTCTTATTATTGAAGATTTTCTATCGATAGGAGAAGTAATATTATAAATATAATGGTCACCTGCAAAGCTTTGATGTCTAAATGCAATACTTCAAATGTTAAGTTTAACATTGAGGCTTTAATATTATGAATGCAAACAGGGTTGGATAGATCATATGGTTTACTGGAGGCATGGAGCAGAGAGGAAGAGGAAGAGTCTGTTCACATTCCGGTAACTCCATACTTGTCGGGTATACTGGGAGAGAGAAGCCTTTACATCTGTGACTAAAAATGAGGTCCTGCATCTAACCAAGAGGGCTCACCAGCGCCTCAGAAAACCCTTTCAAGCCCTTCTTTTCTTTTGAGCCGCTGCACAGATTGAAATGTAACTTGGCAGATGTCATAAAAAAATCAAAGGTTTTTCACATTTCCACCTGAGAAGTTGCTGTGATCATTTTTTATACCTTCAAAGAATTCTAAACCATTTTGAGTAACGTGGCCTGTCATACAAACTGCTCCTGTTGGAAATCTATTTGGCCATTTTACTCCAAACATTCTTGGCAAATTTCAAGTACCAGTAGGACGCATACATGTGAAAAATAGTTGATGGATATGTGGAGGCTGGCTGCCTGATCACCATTACTTTCTCATTTGGCAATTTGTGCTCAGTAACACTCACTCCTGCTGTTTAATTTACATGCAAGATTTGTTTTCAGCATGGTTGAATGGACCTGCCATGGGTTTCAGGGTGTTGACATAATCAGCACAGGGACACGCTAAACACGGCCTGCACACCGACCGAGCTGTTGGCAGACTCTTCCTGCCATTCTCTGCAGTATGAAAGGGTGTAAGGGTTATTTCCTGAAAATAGTGTTTACGTTTTATACAGGAAAGGTTTGCCCCTAGCTGTGCCACTCTGAGAATGAAAGTTTGTCTTGGGCGAAATCGGCACATTTCTGATAAGTTAGAATAAGTGTCATTTATCACAAGGAAGACACGTAGAATTGTAGGGCAAGGCTGCCTGTGTTGCATTCTTGAGGGATTCACACCTGAAGACACTAAACCTACCTTTAAATCCCAAAATACCTATAATTTCATATTTTTATACATCCATATACTACTGGACATATATGTCCATATTCCATACATAGTCAGACTGGAAGAAAATGGCAATGATGGTGTAGCCTTCTGACCCGGGACATGAGAGCTGGGGGTAGAGTCAAAGGTTTTTCTTCCTTCTCAAGCCATCACAGTGCTGTCGAACTCTGTTTATGGCACCATGTCTGCCGCAGTCCTAGTCTGAGTCTTTGCTTTCCCAAATACAGTACGTTCGGCTGCAGAATTCACAAAGCTTTAAGCTGCTGAGACCCTATTGTACCATAGCTGCAAAGCTGACTGACTTCAGGGTCAAAGCGACTCACACAGCTGCCTTCTTCGTTGTGATTTTACATTAAATTAAAAAAAAACATTTTAATGGAACAGCATTTACACTGTTCTATACTGTTAAAGATAGGAGTGTGAAAAAATCTGTTGGCAGTCCACCTATTGCCTCCCTCACAAACCCTGACAAATACCATGTTGCTTTTCTGATGCCTCCGTTTAAAAACAACCTCTTGAATCCTATAGCTTTGTTGGGGGCACTTATTGTTGCTCATAACTGTTCTCACTGCATGAAAGGATTGACTCTTTCTTTTGTGACTGTTCTCATGCATTCTTATGCCTTGGGTATTTCAATGAGATTCTGTCGGGCTGAAATATACTGTCGTTGTAAACAACCCTTTTCCATTCTATATCATATAAGCGTTTCACAATATATAGTATCTCAACGGATGATTATAAAATAATATTTAAAGTCCTGAATGCTCCTGCAAATCCAAACCCCAGTAATACTTGATGCAATTCTCAGAGCAAATACATCTCTCGAGAATCAAAGGTTCGCTTGGTTTTAAGGTCAGCTTTTTTTTTCATTCCCTGTAATAATCCAATTCGCGTAATTAAAGTATCATACATGTCGAAATTGCATAAGGTTGAATATTTTCGATGAATAATTTTGTAACAAAAATCTTGATTGTGAAGTACCTAGGACTTATTAAATAGAACAACACGAACCATCTTCATGTCCCGCATAGTACTGTAACTAACTCGTGGATATGGATACTGTTACCGCATGGGCAGTCACGATGCAGTGGAGTTCGCTGTTTCTTGACCCGCAGGTGATTTCAAATTCTGGAGAAAAAAAAAGGTGCCACCGTTTGCTAAATCCATTTAAAAACTATTTTGTAAAGAAATGTCAGAAGTACAACAGCAGCAGACGAAGCACGGAAAAGGACAGTGTGAGAGAAGCATGTTTATTTTCCCCCAAATTGTCTTTATGTAGCCGTTGTCTACTGGAAGGCAGACTGACGAGCAAATGACTAGTTCCTTTTGGTTAGCATTTCTGATGTGACCTGCGGTTAAATTATCCACACACACACACAAAAAAAAATGCGCAAACGCTACTTTTTCCACCAGTTGCTTCGGCACACACAAAGCTGCGGAGTTCAGCGTGCGTGGACGCCCCGGCTGTTATAAAATACGGCCGCGTCCAGCTTTAGTGCAACACCAAAAGAGCCGCAAACAAACAGCGAGGCGTCTACATATTAACAGGCGGAGATGACAATCTTTTGAAAGGTGCCGCGATTTGACCCGAGTCCGAGGGCTGAGGTTTTGAAAACCCCCTCTGGCGGAGGACGCCGTTCTCTCGCTTTCTTTCGGAGCTTAGTGACGTCAAGTCTCTCTCCTGGCAGTCAGTAAGTCAGTGCGAGAGAGTGGAGCCGCTTAGAAACACACAAGTTAGTAGTTAAGAGGCAAACACAGTGAGAGTAGGTTTGAGGTACCCGGAGAGTAACTAAAGAAAAAGGGGGAAAGAGTTTGAGTTCTCACCAAGAGGAACAGTTGTGTACGTCTTGCCCCGGGAGCTGGGGGGGACATCAGACACTCCCCGCAATGGATAGAGTTATAACTTCTGTCTTTGCTGCGGTCAGTCTTTTGGTCACGGTTAGAGGACAGATTTTCAAAGGTAAGGCACGGCTTTTTTCTTGTCGTCGTCGTCCCCCCACTAATGCTGACATTGCGTGTAATGTTTTTGAAATATGAACAAGCAAAGAAACGTCCTGAATCCAATCCGTTTGCAGCGCTGTAAACTGACGCCTTTTGGCAGTCGTTTAAGGGGAAAAAAAGTGTCCTAGTTTACATTAAGTTTTTTTTTTTTAGAAGATAGCCCCCATTTAGGGGTTAATGAAAGCTTTTCTTACAAACAAAACAAAACTTTATGCGATTTGAGCATTTGGGGTTGTGTTCGTGCTGGAACTGCGCTGGGGGGAAATGCGTAGTGTTGTGCTGTTGGAATGTGTTGTAAAATTGTCTTTAACTTTACGCGCTGTATTCTGTATATGTCGGTATGCTCTGTTAAGTTGGACCGCGTATGAACTATAAATCTATGGTGAGGGGTGTACCAGAGTGGGTTTCCAGCAGTTATTTTCTTGTGAATGTTACACGCCGAGCAACTGAACTTAGTTTCCGTCTCGCCAGGACTAGTTTGGTAAGGAAACGCTGAGCGCCTCTTCGACACTTAGCGTTTTTCATTCCCTTCCAGGCGGACAAACCGATTACAGGACACCTACTTAGTTCTAGTACTGTATGTGAGGGTGAAGGAAACCTCATGAACAGCAGACCCTCCATTTTCGCTTAATCCCCGAGCAGTGAATTGGAGACTTTGAGTTTTAAAGCAGAAGTTGAGGGCGTCTTTAAAATGTTTTTAACCCCGCTGTATAATAAAATGAAGCGACGCCGCTGGTCTAAATGAAATACCCATGGCACGTAATCCGTTTTTTTACGCGGTTTGTAGACAAGCGCCAGTTTTTTCTCGTCGTATTTAACGTGTCTCAATGATCTCGACGTTATTCTTTAGCCGCTTTTGAAGGAGAGCGACAGAAGGGAATAAAAAAGTTTTGTATCCTAAAAAAAAATAAGAACAGCACCGCTTTATTGTGCCAGAGACTGGAGCAGATTTATTTCTGTCGTCTCTCCGTTAACTTCGACGGGTTGGGAGCCAGGCCGGTACACTGGGTTTTATGGCTTCCAGTTGTAATGGCTTGGGTTTGGCTCTTAACAATGCTGGTTAACTGTAAAAGACTAATTTTAAATTACTTAAGACTTTGTAATTAAAGGCTTCCCACTCTGCGCTTTAATTCGCGTACAGCGTGTCAAAGGAGTGCAAGAAGTATCTTCCTGCAGATCTTCACAAAATAGCAAAAAAAAAACCGCTTCCTTAAAACTGACAATGACGACTCCAAATATTTATGCATTTGGGACACGAGTCATTCAATTGAATTTGGTCGGCATTGTTTTTTTTTTCCCTGACATTTAAAATCAATTTTAAACTAATGGAAATCACAGTTTCTGATGAGTATGAATCCTGGAATAGAAGTATATGATGTTATTGCAAGTAAACAACCGCGGGAGTAGCCTACGGCTCATCTTATTCAGAAACCACTCCATATGTATTTAAAAAAAATATTTTATATAATCACATAATAGGTAAGGAGATGATTTTATATTTATTGTGATCCTAATCCTAAAAACTAATTTCTTTCCATTTTGTTTCGTACAGTAATACTAGTGTAGCAGGGACTTAACATTTACTTTATTTCTTAAATTGTTTTGAATGCTGTTTTCACTAAAATAAATCAATAACTGCATTATCTGTACTTTTAGCATCTAGGTTCACTTTATTTTCTTTGTGTTCATTTGCATATTTGTGCGTATGAACAGGAAGATTATTGACACGAAAAGCTACTGGGAAGCGATATTGCAGCCCCACCTGATAAGCAGGTGTGTGGACCCCTGCAAATCTTGATTGAGAGCGCCGCACTAATGTCAGTACAGGTGTGAGAGATTGTACGCTCTCCTGCTGCTCTGTTAGACGTTTTCGCTTTCTGAAACCCACAGCGATGCCCGGGGTGACATGAAACTGTTTAATTCAATACTTAAAAGGGGTCATTTTCAGCTGTCGGGGCAATGGATGTTTCATCTGAAGAGGGGCATTATCTATATGTAAATCAATAAGGTGCATACATAGTAAATGTATTGCTTTGGGCTACGGCACACTTTAAACTAGAAACATTGCATACGGGTAGCATGAAAAGATCGAAAGACTTTCAAATTGACGCGTTATTGGCTTGTTCCCGTGATAACTAGGAACATATTTTGGATTTATACAGTCCGGTGGGGTTGTGGTCTGCAATGTTTTAGAAACGATAGGTACGATGTTAAGTGGACCTCCCTTTACTAACTCTGTGTGGAAGGTTTCAGATACAGATCTTTAAAAATACTTCCAGGGTCTGTGTATTTTCGTGGCGTCTTGAGTGTGAAAGCAGCGTTTTTTTTTATATTTGCCTAATTGTTTCGGTATCTAAACGCTTGCAGTTCTACAGCCTTGACCTACTGCGCTTTTTCTGTCTTTCCCTTGACTGTAGGGTCCTGATGGTGGCAGCATCGTACACAAAAGAAGTGTTTATATGCAATAAGTCAGAATCACGACTCTTTGCAACTTTTTTCCCCATCATGTGTACATTTAATAAAATAGAAACAAAATAATGAAAAATGTATTTTAAAATACCTCCTGACTGACAAGTAAACAGAAGCGTTAAGACTATAAAATAATCTTTTGAACCTTCATTAGAATTATACATGCAAATCGAACGCGCTTTTCAGTGAAAATAATTAGTAACAATCCGATTAAAAGGAGACTACTGCAGACCTAGCTACCTAGTTCTGCCTTGGGTATTGAGCGCATCTCAGCTTTGTGATGTGTGAACCCAGTCAATCTTCTGATTTCTTCTGAAACATACTCGGAAAAAGTAAACAAAATGAATTCAAGCTAACAACGCATACAGTAAGTCTTTATTAACCCTGTTACTTTTTAGACTTCTAAGCTATGGGTTAAAATCGGAAACAAAGAGATCAGTTTTTCTCGCCCTCCACAAGATTCAGTCAAAACGGTGTGAATTAGTGATGCAGAAAAGCGCGTGATCTGTTCACCCGAGGATTCGGGGTATCGTTAGCGGAGATCAAGCTGTGTATCGCAGGGACAAATTATAATTCAATCTGTTTCATTTAATCCCTTTTATTTAGGGCAGATCAGTTTAGAACAATACCTCATTTGCAACCATGACCTGAAATGTACCCATCTAGGCACCTCTGGGGCAATCGAAGTGTAGTACTCTACCGCGCTCAAGAGTACATCGATCAGAGTCCTGGGTGTTAATTGTGTACAGCGGCACGTCGTCTTGAGGCGGTCTGCCTGGCCCTGAACCCGTGTGCTCGGATTGTCTTGTGACCAGAAAGGCGACGTTTTCTACCATACGTTCTGTCCCGTGAATGCTTCCTGTTTTTTTGTCCAAGTATTGTATATCATCCTGATCATTTATATCTGCCAGAACCAAAAAAATAACACACGGCTTCCTTTTTTTTGGCCTAATAAATGTTTTTAGTGCCTAATTATCTACATCATTTACAGTGATGTCAGGAAGACTAACATATTCATGATTGCTAGGCTACATAAAAACAAATAGGCTTTTCTGAGCAGTTTTTGGTTTCCACACACAGTAAGGCCAAAATTATTAGGCTGCCTTTGAAATGCAGGCAGTTGCATTGAAAGCGAAATGAAATGTTTCCTCCCTTCACAGACATTTTTTTTTGTAAAAGAGTTTTATCTGTGGCCTGACAATGTTTTAAACACTTTTTTTAGAAAAATAAATCACATAATCAGCCCTTTGTGTTATCAAGGAGACAGCTTAGTTTGAGTTCTCACATAGGAATATTTGACGGGTGGCAGCTTTTTTGGTTTGACTCAGTGGAGAATGAAATTAAAGATCTCAGTAATTTAAAGAGGAGTTAGAGCTTCAGCAAAAAGAAACTCAGAAATGATTGATGACGAGTTGGAAGTGAATTTAAGAGATATCTAAATTTAAGTGCTGTTACTTCACACTTTTTACATTGTGGCCTTTTTTTGCACAGAATGAATTTTTTTTTGTATAAATTGAAATTGGATGGCTTTGATTTTGTCTGTGCTATTGTATTGTGTTGTCTTTGACTTCAGCAGAGCTGTGTACGTTGTCAAGTAGATTTTGAAATCCATTTGTTACGTGAAATTTGTAAGAATGACAGTAAATTGTTTTTTCCCCTTGACTGTTTTCTGCCTTCATTTTCACGGAGCAAGGATTTTGGTGCTTTGGAAAACCACTACAGATGTTCATTAAAATATGTAAGGTTGACAACTTTTATCAAAAAGTATTTTCCTGAACCTACAGAACAAAAACTACATAATTTCTCATGTGTTTTTAATACTGGTGCTGGGACATGTTATCAGTCTGTTTTCCATTTTAATGCTCTGTTGGAAGTTGTCTTTAGAGCGAGAGAAGAATTCCTGATGGTCTTTTAACGATCGCTCTGACTGGCCTGTACCAGCCAATATAATGTTGAATACACTATATTTTGGAGGTGACATTTTCTTGTTCTAGCAGTTTGTGAAACCTAGAAACATGGCAAACTATATAAAGTTTACTTTGGACAAGGGGAACGAAGAATCATCAAAATGCATTCAGTTCATAATTAGCAATTGGGTTTGATTCTTAAAAAGATGCTGAGCAGACAGGGTTTCTTTAATTAAACAAGATGAGGACACAAAGATAAAAGCTAATGAAGTGTAAAAAGGGGGATCCCTCCTCCAGCAGGCTGATGAAGAGCTTTGACTGAGTAATTACACGTCGGATCTCATCACCATTTCAAAACCTTCAGAAAAAAAAAATACCCAGCATTTGTTGTGGATGAATTTGAGAAAGCATTGAGTGAAATATCACTAATTAATGCTCTGAGGGCTTTCATTGTTTAAAATAATACAATTAGAAAAAGCAAGCCATTTAAGGAGAAGAGAATTGTGCTGACAAGCCCGATGTAACCAGCGCTCACAATGAAAGATAACTTCCCTCAATGTCGTCCTGATTTGGAACCAGCGCA